TGATGCGTAGTCGGTAGACGATGGTTTTAATTAGTACGTGTGTGTGTGTGTGTGTTTAAACCAGGCTGGCATGTAGCTTTAAATCAACGACGCTAATCCATATGGGTTTTCAAAGTCAGAGAAACAAGCATGTGTGTGTGTGTGTGTGTGCAGTTGTACGCCGCAAAATCCGACTTTTGGTGCGTGTCTCACGGTGGATTGTTTTTGATTTTGTTTCATCATTGCACAGGGGAGGGAGTGTAAGGCAGAGAACATTTTTAGAACCGGGCTCAGCAGACGGTTTCTTTTGGTGAGAAATGTGTTAGTCCTGATTACGTCAACTGTGCAGATATACATCTGTTCAAGGAGAGAGACTACAGAGGCGGAGGGGTTGGGAATGATCGTCTCACCTGTGCGTCAACGGTGAAAACCTCTAATGTCAGTTAATATTCACACTTTACACCTGCATGTCTCGCATTAACTTTGTGTTTTTCTTTATTTCATAAAAGAAAACACCTTAAAAGAGAACAGATGGCTCCAGATGGAGGCGCAGACCTAATGTATTAAAAATTTAATCCAGGGCATGGTGAGTGTGTTTGCTGGTCAGATTAAACAGCTGTCTGTAATCTCTCACTGGATACAGACAGACAGACAGACAACTAGACAGACAGACAGACAGTTTGCTATTAGTGACGCTGTTGTTTTGTTTAAGACAAAAGTTAAAGAAAAGTTTACAACTAGACAGATAGACAGTTTGCTATTAGTGACGCTGTTGTTTTGTTTAAGACAAAAGTTAAAGAAAAGTTTAGCTCCATACAAGCTCATTGTAATGCTTTAGATTTATTATTATTATTTATATATTTTTTAAATTATTTATACTATATAGTACTATAGCAAATATGCTACTTACATGTTATGTTAGCATACTTTAGCATGTAGCATTTTTCACATTTTCCAATAAATCAATTGACTTCCACTGAACCTAAGTTTTATTTTTGTATGATTTAATCACGTGTCTAAATCTTTTCATAGAATAAAATATATACAAATATATAATTGTATAATGTAGAAAATAGAGGTGTTTTCAAAGAAATAAATTAGGAAGCCCCCAAGAAATTTCAACAATAAAAACTCTCCTACATCTATGCATAAAAACGTATACAAAATTCATCATATTTTCTACTTGAATACTAATTAATTACATTCTTCTCACAGTTCTTTTTTTTTTCGTCTCCATTATTCTAATGAATATTCATATGAAAGAAAAAAGAAATCGCAATTTAAAGACACAAGGGTCGTATTTAGGGACATGGTAATCTGTCAGTCAACTCTGTCCAAAAGCTTAAAAAAATCCAAACATAAGAACTCTAGGAGTCAACTCTGTCCAAAAGCTAAAAAAAATCCAAACATAAGAACTCTAGGGGTTAGAAACAGCAGTGACAGGAGACGAACGAACTTCAAGTTTGTCACAAAACCATTTCAGTTTTTCATTTTTCAGTGACCCCAGTTTCCTTCCACAGTCCAGATACACGCAGGGTTAGGTTATATGTTATGTCTATACTGAAGTGAGCATCGCAAGATCGGCAACAAACCCCCCAAACGTCGCCCTGTTTCACATTTGTAAAATAATTAATTTCATCAATTTAACCCCAGATGAGTCTCAGGAAGACGAGGCTGCAGCTGACTTTTCATAAAGTCTACATCTGGCTCCGGTGAAGGACACGTTTCACAAACCGGTCCTCTGTTGTAACAGTTGACACATAGCCACACATCTGGCCTTGTGTAATAAAGTCCTCAACCAGGGAGGTTCATATCACCATAACACTGCTCCATCTCTTAATTCTGATCTTCTTTCCAACTTCACAATTTTTCCAATAAACTATCACCCCGGTAGGACGGAGGCCAAGAAGTCACTCTGGCTGCGAGTTATCAAGTTCAGCAATTTATCCAGCATCGACCTACAGTATGTCAACGTAAAAAAAAACAGTCCCTGATCTGGATAGTTTTATTTCCAAGCCAAAACCGAAGCAGATTTGGTTAAAGAAATGTACAGATTATCTATACGAACAGCAGTTTAATTGCGAGAGAGTCTCCTCGTCAAACGTACGGCTGCCTCGCCACAGGAAGCGGAGTTTGCGAATGACTGCATCTATTTATACCGGTTACAGCAGCCGACCCTGTGTGCCGTCTTCCTCCGTCTAGGCGCGAGCTGGTGTGTTTACGTACGGAGCGTCTGAAGTGTGGCGAACAGCACAGTGCCCCTGCGTGTTCTGAGGATCAGTGTGTCAATGGCCCTCGCAGAGCACACTCCACACTGACACTCTTTAAATACAGACACCAGCTGCTGGATGCTTCCACACCAGCCCAGAGATCTGGGACAAAAAAGTCGAAAAAAAAAAACAGTGGATTTATAGTCGGCTGGAGGGAGAGGTGTGATGAAAAAACAAGTCATGTGACACGACAGTTAATTTGTTTGTTGTTTCCCATAATGTATGAACATCGCAGCTGGAAAGGGGATTACAAGTGGAACAATGTTTATAGGCTTTGAGCAGGAGCTCAGAGTTGACCGTGGCTGCGACCGTTTCAACGAGGACGCATCAGCGTCTGATTGGGTTCATTGTTTACAGCGCAAACACATGCACACGTGCGTGGAAATCTATATCTGCTCGCCGGCTGCCGGAGTGGTCGCTGTGCTCAGCTCAGGTTGGCATTGCGTAAGGATCGAGTTCCAGCGCCACTGACAGTCAGACACAGAGTGACAGCTTCAACAGCTGAGTTTATGTTCGCCGAGTTTCATTAGAGGTGTTGCTTTATCAGACGATAAACACAAAGGAAAGAACGTTTTGATGCACCTAGAGGTATAATCAGAGGGAAAATGAGGTTTCAGTTCATCAACTTTTTTAGAGGTTGCGTCAGCATGTAATCCACCACTTGCTACTATCATGCCACTGGATTTGAACCTATGACCTACAGGGTAAAATCTATATACTGTATATATACAGTATATTCTTGTTTATTGCCTCATCCGATATATGATTTTGTCACCTTACTTTTTCTGTCTTTTCGTTTGTACAGTGATCCCTCTCCTATCGCAGTAGTTGCGTTCTAAGACCCACCGCGAAATGGGAAAATCCACAAAGTAGAGGCGAGATTTATGTATTTATTTATGTATATATTTACCCTTTTACGAACCTCCCCCACACTGTTATCAACCCTCCCTAGAATCTATTATCTTTCCCACACAATTATATGCACAGTACAGTTGTATAATGGAAATATGATGTGGAAACTTGACGTGTATTTTTTTTATATAAAAAGCCAGGGACACCCAACCTCTCCCTCTTTTTTCGGACTACAATATATATATTTTATGTATATTTCGTAGGGGCTCCAGGAGGAAAATTTAGTTTGTTTCTGTATGTATGTATATG